CTATGGGTCTGATTATTGCTACATAGGCCCAATGAGCCATTCGTGGTTTGAGACCCCAGTTCCTTCCTAGGAGCCTGCGGCAGATCTGGTTTGCCATGATGGCCTTTTTCCTCACCTTATCTAATTGTGAGTTCCACTTTAGTTTACTGTCCAGTATTACTTATTTAGGTATTTAACTTCTGTTTTGAGGTTGAGGTTTTGAGGTGCTTTTATTTGTAGCTTCCTTCTCCGAATGAAAGGGACTATTTCGATTTTATTGGGATTGATGCTGAACCCATAGCTTCTACACCAAGTACTGGTGAGTAGTAGGGCTTTCTGCATTAGTTGAGTTATGATTGTATCATATTTACCTCGAAATGTAATTATCAGGTCATTAGGGTGTTCATCAAGTCATCAACTAGCAGGCACCATAATAGAGGTGATAGCACTCCCCCTTGGGGACATTCTCTTAGCGCCTTTATAGTCAGCGACTCGCCTCCCAGACTGGCTGTGATCTGCCGACTTTTCAACATGGCTATACATCACTTGATTGTCGACGGATGTATATCTTTTACGTTTAGAGCCTTCTTTCTGGATTTATAGGAGGTGTTATTAAACGCACCCTCTATGTCTATGAAAACATATAGGGCTATCTCTTTGGTTGCAATTGCCTCCTCTAAAGTGCTAGTCAAAGCATGGAGAGCAGTAATTGTTGATTTTGCTTTCTGGTAAGCATGTTGGCTAGGGTGGAGTGGATTAGTGACAAGCACTCCATTCCTAAGGTATTGATCGATTACCTATCCTACTCTATGCTGCGAACCCTACCTGATGGACGGGTTATGTCCATTACTTCTTCTCTTACCTCTTCTTTTGAGGAAGGAAAGCGTGTACTCAGTAGGAGCTCCAACGATTCCTTAGCATTCTCAGTGTATTTACCATCTTGTTTGCATAGGTGGTCTAGATTAGTGTTGTGATCTTTTGCCAAGATCTTATGCAGACGAGTAACTGTAGGCGTATTGTCTATGTCTTCACAGAAGCTGCTCCAGGTTTTTCTTTTGGCTTTGCGGATAGCCAAGTTATATTCCGTTAGGGCTTTCCTATAGAGATCCCATGTTTGCTCGAGTTTGGAATTCCTGACTTATATACTCTTCTAACCATGACTCGCTGTTTTTCAAGGTCCTTATTCCATCAAGGCACATTGGATTGTGCGCTTTTGTGTTTTATAGGACAGCTTGATTCATATGCACTATGTATGAGATTGTTTAGTTGAAAAGAGGCTATTTCGAGATCCTCTCTGCTTTCAATATTTGTTTTGATTTCGTCGGCCTCTTCGCTGATGTGTCTACAAAAAGAGCACCAATCAGTGAGTGAGGGGATTCTGAATTCTGTTTGTTTTGTCATGTCTGCTACAATGACAAAGCGAATATGCTTGTGATCCGCTAAAGTGATTTCACGCGAAACATGCCAGTTTGCGATTTGCGAACTAAGGCGAGGCGTGGCTAGGCTTATGTCTAGCACCTCTTGTCGACTCTTGGTAACAAAAGTCGGTACGTTACCTCTGTTGAGGATATCTAAATTTGTAGTTTGAAGGTATTGGTAAAGATACTCACCCCTTTTGTTTGTGTCTGAGCTGTTCCATGCGAGATGATGTGCATTCGCATCGCAGCCCAGGAGGAGTTGTTTTCCCCTCTTATTGCAATATTCGATGAGGTCTTTTACCTCTTGTGGCGGTGGATCGTCCGAATCACCGGGGAAGTATGCCGAGGCTATAATCGCCTCTTGCTTGCCTCCCGGCGTCGGCAATACCGCTGACATTGCAACCAAGTCCCTAGAGATAAACTGGGTTAATGGTAGGCAGTTTAAAGAGGATTTAGCGAGTATCGCTGCTCGCGCAGGGCACTCTCCTCTGTAATAAAATAACTTACCTGCTTTTGTTGATAGTCTTCTGACTATTCCTCCATATACATATGGTTCCTGAATCAACGCAACATGTATGTTGGGGCTGTGGAAGCCCTTGACCAGCACGTCGGAGGCGCTTTTACAGTGCTGGATGTTGGCCTGGATGAAGCCTACACCCGCCATTATTGTTTGGCGGGTGCAATTTTGGGAGCGGCAGTTTTGCCCTTACCCTTTTTTTCGGAACTAACCTTACCTTTACCCTTCTTGGGGTCCTTGGCGGTTCCGGAAGTTCCAGGTGTTGGTTCGGGTTCTTCTTTCTGTGGCGTAGGCTTGCCGCTCTTTTGCCTCAGGGTGATTTGCCCGAACTTGTAGCTAACCTTATAGTTTGTTCTTTTAAGGTTCTCTACGGAGGGATGGTCAACGGACAACGTAAGAAAGGCACTGCTGCCTTCGGTCGTCCTTTTGAGCACCCTCCATTCGTTGGTGTTCAGGCCTTCGTTTTGGCCTTTAACAATTTTTAGAATGCGGTCTGATTTTTCATCCGCACTGTTGGGGAAATAGGCGTTCATGATAGTCGCTCTAGGTAGCTCCTTTTCATCGATAGCCATTAGGGATGCGCCCTCCCATGGTTGTAGGGTTGGAGTTACGGACTTTATCCAGTCCGCTGTTTCCTGGTTTTCGCAGTTGACTACCAGCCATCCTGCCTTAAATGTGGTGCCGAGGAACTTAGGCTTGATGTCGCCTTCATGTCCCTCGCTAAGGTCCACAATTCTTGAGATGATGACCTCTTGAATAGCCTGCATTTGGGCTGTTGTGAGGTTCACCTCTGGAAATAGGGAATCTGCAATTCCCATCTTTTTACCTTCCAACACCTGCTTGAAGCTGNTATAAGTATTTTACCTGCTCTTTCTAAAACACTAGAAAAAATAGTTTGTTCTCAGTTGCGTGAACACCTATTGCTTTATGACATCATACCTGATAATCAGTCAGGGTTTAGACCGGGTCATAGTTGCAATACTGTACTAATGGATGTTGTGGACGGTGTGTTGCGGAGTGTCGACAAGGGAAATATGCATGCAATGATATTATTAGATTATTCCAAAGCATTCGATATGATAAATCATCATTTGTTGTTAAGCATTATGCACTACATTGGTCTCGGTCAGACGGCAATTGATTTTTTTAAACATTATCTTCTGAACAGAAGGCAACATACGAAAGTTAAAGGCTCATTATCTAAACCAGAATTTGTCTCTAAAGGAGTTCCTCAGGGCAGTATATGTGGTCCTTTGTTATTCATCGTTTATACTAGTATGTTCTACAGGGGCTTGAAACATTGTGAATATCATGCTTATGCTGATGATACTCAGTTATTAATATCATTTCCTCACACCGAGACTAATGTTGCTGCTGTCAAAATAAATTCTGATGTGCAATCACTTGTTGACACTTCTGAGGCGCATGGCTTAAAAGTAAACTCCAGCAAATCTAATGTGATAGTATTTGGTAACAGAAATCATAGGAAATTTGTTGATGACAATCTTAAAATTTGTGTAAATAATCAAGAACTACAACACGTACGCACTGTGAAAAATTTGGGTTTGTTAATAGATGATGATTTAAAATTTAATTCACATATAAACAAGTTACTACAGAAATCATATTGCGTATTAAAATCCCTTTATCCATATCGGCATGTATTAAATGAGAACAGTAAAAGATTACTGACTGATTCTTTGATTTTATCCAATTTTAATCATTGTGACTCGGTCTATGGTGCTTGCATAACTGGGGACAATCGAAGGCGGGTGCAGTATGTCCAAAATGGGTGCTTAAGACTAATTTATGGAATTCGAAAGTACTGCAGAATTTCACATAAGTTAAAAGAATGTGGGTGGCTAAATATGTATAACAGAATCATTTTTCACAGGGGAGTAGTTTATTTTAAAATTTTAAATAAAAAAACACCTGTTTATCTGAGCAAGAAGATATCGTATCGTACTGACATCCACAATATCAATATTCGTCGAAAAGATGCACTTACAGTTCCTCGTCACGCGTCGGCGTCATTTCGGAATTCTTTCACTTATTGTGTGACAAACTTTTGGAATACCCTTCCTCGTTCATTAAAAATATTGAGCCTGTCGAGTTTTAAATATAAATACAAGCGATATCTCTGTGAGCGGCAGATGGAATCAATTTAGGTTTTCTAGAGTAAAATTTTAATTTTTATTTGTTATTTGCTTTATTCATGCATTCAATTTTTGTTTTTTGTATTTTTTGTCTTGTGCGCTGTATTCATTTTCACTACTTACTTACTTAGAAGCAATATGTTGTGTTCATGGGGACTGGGGGAAGAGCAGACCTCACTACTTTGTGGTGTTGTCTGACCCAGCCACCTGTTAGCCTTTGCAATTTTGTTGTAATTTTGTTTTTGTAACATTATACTTATTTCTTATTATAATTATGTTTTTGTTTTTTTTTATACTTGTACACTAATTGTAAGGGTTAATAAAGGCATTATTATTATTATTATTATATGATGACCTCTTGAATAGCTTGCATTTGGGCTGTTGTGAGGTTCACCTCTGGAAATAGGGAATCTGCAATTCCCATCTTTTTACCTTCCAACACCTGCTTGAAGCCTGTTTTAGCCCTCTTCTCCTCCTCACTAATGGGCTGACAAGCCTTTGTTTTATCGCTGGCATTGTAGCTTCACTTTTTAACAAGGCCAAACTGTGCCTTTTATTCTTTTTGATTTTCTGTCTATTATGTTACC